CAAAAAAAAAAAAAATAGAGAGAGAGGAAGTTTTCCTTCCTACCTCCCTTCTTTTCTTTTTTCAAATGATCATATGTGGAACCCACATCTAAAACAAACTAATTGAAGTGGAGAGAGAGCTTGGAAACTTGCCCCATTTCCCTTAGTCTTGGAGGCAGATATGCCCTGAGGCTCCTCACTAGAACCCCTAAATTCCACAGAGCATAGTTTAAAAATCATTAGAGATACCAACTATAAAACATTTTTAGCAGGATAGGATAGGTAGAGTTAGGTGCAAAGTGTATGTTACAGGCTCCAACCAAGTGAGGAAAAGGGTTAGGGTCTTTTATAGACAGTGGAGGTTACTGAGCTTAAAGTGATGAGAGTTCCTGGCAGAGATTGTGGGGATAAGGAATACACATATTATATAGAGAAAATAAACCCACTAGATCCAAGGGTTTATGGGAAGTGGCATAAAATAAGTCTTAGATTGGCTCCTGCCTTGAATGCCAACCAGATGTTCTAGGAACCGAGCCCTACAAAATTCTCCTAGGGGGAGTTGAGAGAGGGGAAGAGAAAGGAATTTTCATGGTAAATAAGTTTGGAAAATAAAATGTAAACTGACTCTCTTTCCTTTGGAAGATCACCAGCTGCAATAGCATATTAAATGCTCTGAGAAGTCTTGCAGAGAAAGACTGGTTTATTTTGTTAACTCTTTATCGCCCTGATTAACATGAACTCCTTCATGTTATGACCAAAGAACTCCTTATTCCCCTGTAATACCTATTAACATCCCTCAGAATTAGTATTTTATGGAACATGCTTTAGGAAATAATACCTAAACCCCAAGGGAACTATTCTTGTATCATATTAACAAATCTGAGACATTTTATATTGGCTGATTTCTGATTAATGGAGAACTTGGATTTCTCTTTAGTTCTCCTTTCATAGTTGTAATTTTAAGGTCCAAAAGTGCAAAGAAGGAACAGGAAGAGTCGTGATGTGGCGGATGGGAATCCTAAACAGCTACACTGTGGAGACTACTTTTGGCGGGTCCACCCTGGGTATGCTCCCCTTTGAATATTATAGGCCAACATGGCAAGTGAAAGCCCAGCAAAGCACCATGGGAGATGAAATGCCTTTGAATGCTGGGGAGATAGTCAACGTAGAGAATTTCATTTTCTAGCCTTATGCTAAAATCGAATACTCAAAATGTGAATGTGAAATATAATACTTAATGGGGCAGTATAGTATAGTGATTGCTCAAGACCTGGAATTACAGAGTGAGACCCCATCTCTAAAAATAGCCAGGTGTTGTGGTGGGCACCTGTAGTCCCAGCTACTGGAGAAGCTGAGACAAGAGAATCACTGAGCCCAAGAGTTTAAGGTTGCTGTGAGCTATGACGCCTACTGAGGGCAGGGCAACAAAGTGAGACTCTGTCTTAAAACAAAACAAAACAAAACTCTGCACCCATAGCTCAGTGGTTAGGACGCCAGCCACATGCACTGGGGCTTGTGGGTTTGAACCCGGCCCAGAACTGCTAAACAACAACAAAAAGAAAATAGCCAGGCATTGTTGTGGGCACCTATAGTCCTAGCTCCTTGGGAGGCTGAGGCAAGAGAACTGCTTACACCCAAGAGTTGGAGGTTGCTGTGAGCTGTGTCGCTATGGCATTCTACCGAGGGCAACATAATGAGACTCTGTCTCTAAAAAAAAAAAAGCAATAATTATAGTACTGCATTATAGGTACTTCTTAATGAAATAGTGCACAAAGCACCTGCCATAGTGCCTACCACAAAGTAAAACCTCCTGATTAGAAGCTTTTTCATGGTCAAAGGTTCTTCTGAATCAAACTAAAATTAGACAAGCTACCTGTCTAGAAGCATGTCACAGAATTGGGTATTTTAAAAAGGATATTTATAACTTAGATTTATATTCAATCATTAAGATTTAATTTAAAATGCTTATGGACTTTTTTCTAGGTAGTAAAAGAGACACCCACTTTACCACTGAAGATCTGAAGTCCCTAGGTTATCTTGTCTGTGACACTCTTCTTGATTTCTGTGATCCTGACCAAACCAAGGTAAAAAATAATGTTTCAAGAAATGGTGATAGGCCAAGCATGGTGGCTCATGACTGTAATCTTAGCACTCTGGGAAGCTGAAGCAAGAGATCCATTGAGCTTAGGAGTTTGAGACCAGCCTGAACAAAAGTAAAACCCTGTCTGTACTCAGAATGAAAAACTGAGACAAGAGGATCGCTTAAGCCCAAGACTTTGAGGTTGCTGTGAACTAAAACTCCACCGAACCCGGCCTGAGATGGGACTATTTCTTGAATCAAGGAACTCGAGGTTACCATGAACTATGATTGTACCACTGTACTTTAGCCTGAGTGACAAAGCAGGACACTATCTCTAAAATGATAATAATAATATTAGGCTCGGCACCTGTAACACAGTGGTTTGAACCTCACCTGGGCCAGCTAAACAACAATGACAACTGCAACAAAAAATAGCCAGGCCTTGTAGTGGCGCTTGTAGTCCCAACTACTGGGAAGCTGAGACAAGAGAATCTTTTAAGCCCAGGAGTTTGAGGTTGCTGTGAGCCATGATTTCATAACACTCTACAGAGGGCAACATAGTGAAACTCTGTCTCAAAAAATAATAATAATAAGCCTTTCAGCATATTTTTAGAAAGTATTTGATGAATAAATGACTTACCAAAATCATTTTTTTTCACTTTCACAGTTTACTCAGTGTCTAGCAGAGCTTAAAGTACTCTTACAACAGGAAATCCACAAGAAATTAAATGTACTTAGACAAGATATGGATTTAGAAGGAAGTTGGAGTGACATCTCTTTGTCTGACATTGAATCCAGGTAACAAAGAAACACCAGAGTTTATTTTTTTAAATAAATTTGTTGCTTTGTTTGATCTGTTGTTTTGTTAGTCTTGATTTTGGACTACAAATGCAAATAAGTGAGTAAATCATACTCTTTAGTTTACAGCACCCTTAAATATATTTCATTTCATTAGCAATTATATATTGAGTGCATGCTGTAGAGGAGTATCATGATCTGACTTAGGTTTTAGTTTCAAAAGGAACATTCTGGATATTGTGTGAAAAATAGATTGTGAAGAAGAAAGGTCTAAGCAGGGAGACTCAATAGGAGGCTTTTGCATTAGTATAGGTAAAAGGTGATGGTGGCTTAGACCACAGCAGTAGTAATAGTTATGGAGGGAGATATGTGATTCTCTTGCTTCAGCCTCCTGAGTAGCTGGGACTACAGGTACCCACCACAATGCCCAGCTATTTTTAGAGATGGGTTCTCACTCTCTAATTACAGATCTTGAGCAATCACTATGTAAGGTCTCCCTCTGGCTCAGGCTGGTCTCAAATTCCTGAGCTCAGGCAATCCATACGCCTTGGCCTCCCAGAGTGCTAAGATTACAGGTGTGAGCCACCACACCAGGCCTGATAAAGAATTATTGAAGCCAGTTTGCCAGGCTCTGCATTACAAAGCTGGCTATCATAAACTTCCAAAGGGTTCCACCTATACACTCTCACAGTTGCCCAGAAAAGTAGACTGTGAGTGTATGAGCCCAGTTTCAGTTTCCTCTAAGTGTTCACACATGTGGTTTTTGACACTTTGGGGAACACACTGCATCTGCTGTTTTAATCCCATTTGTTAAAGCTTTCTGTTTTCTCCCAAGGGACTTCAGAAACTACCATGTTTCCCCAAAAATAAGACCTACCCAAAAAATAAGCCCTAGCAGGATTTCTATGCGTTTGTTAAATATAAGCCCTACCCCAATAATAAGACCTAGTGATGGGCGTGGCTATGTAACGTATCTGCATTTTGATGTGGAGAGGAAGACATCCCCTGAAAATAAGCCCTAGTGTGTCTTCTTGAGAAAAAATAAATATAAGACAGTACTTATTTTCGGGGAAACATGGTATTATCTAGTAGCCTCAAAGGCTACTCTTTGGTAGACTTTGGAAACCTTGGTGAAAACAAGGAATTGGGAATTAGATTTGAGAGGATAAGGTGTTATTCCTGCTGTCTTGCTGTGGGACTCCTCATTGTGCACTGAGGGGAGCAAGGAGAACATAAACAGAAATGCTGACTTTTCCTAGGTGATTTGAGTTTGTTGCTTAAGAAACATTTTTTTTTTTTTTTTTTTTTTGAGGCAGAGTCTCACTCTGTGGCCCTGGGTTGAGTGCTATGACTTTATAGCTCACAGCAACCTCAAACTCTTAGGCTGATCCTTCTACTTCAGCATCCTGAGTAGCTGGGACTACAGGCACCCAGGACAATGCCCAGCTAATTTTTCTATTTTTAGTAGAGATGGGGTTTCACCCTTGCTCAGGCTGTTCTCAAACTCCTGAGCTCAAGCAGTCCACCAGCCTTGGCCTCTTAGAGTGCTAGGATTATAGATGTGAGACACTGAGCCCAGCGTTTTTTGTTTTTGTTTTTGTTTTTGTTTTTGAGACAGAGTTGCCCTAGGCTAAAGTGCCTCAAACCCCTAGGCTCATGTGATCCTTGAGCCTCAGCCTCCTGAGAGGTTTGGGCTACAGGTGCCTGCCACAGTCCTGAGGTAGTTTTTCTAATTTTAATAGCAATGGGGGTCTCACTCTTGCTTAGGCTGGTCTTGAACTCCGGAGCTCAAGCAATCTGCCCACCTTGGCCACCTAGAGTGCTGGGATTACAGGCATGAGTCACCACACCTGGCCAAGAAACTTTTTATATGTGGATTCTATGTCACGGAGAATAGCTCTCAGTTCTAGCTAACCAAACCCCAGGAAATGAAAAATATAATGTTATATTTAAGCAAAGAACATGATGAAGAAAAAAAAGATTGATTATCTGAGTCTGTATTAATCCTAGCCCTTAGAGAAAGAGGGAGGGAACAATTTGTGAGGGAAGATTTTAGACTGTTTTGTAGATGTATCTACAAAACTTTTGTTTCTTTTTTTTTTCTTTTTTGAGACAGAGTCTCAAGCTGTTGCCCTGGGTAGAGTGCTCTGGTGTTACAGCTCACAGCAACCTCAATCTCTCGGGCTTAAGCAATTCTCTTGCCTCAGCCTCCTAAGTAGCTGAGCCTACAGGCGCCCGCCACAACATCTGGCTATTTTTTTATTGCAGTTGTCATTATTGTCTAGCTGGCCGAGGCTGGGTTGGAACCTGCCAGCCTGGGTGTATGTGGCCGGCGCCCTACCCACTGAGCTATGGGCACTGCCTATAAAGCTTTGAAGAGAAAATTGGGATGATAAAAGTAATACTCTTGGTCTCTGATCTACAGATTCTTTATTAAATTTATTTGTTTATATACATATAAATTTATTTGTGTGTATATATATTTACTTTTGTGTTTTAGCTCCTTTTAAAATTTTTCTATTTCAAAATATTAAGGAGATACAAATTTTTTTTACATAGATAGCTTTCATAATGCTTTAGTCAGGGCTATAAGTATGTCCATTACCTGAATATTCTTTTTTTTTTTTTGAGACAGAGTCTCACTCTGTCACCCTGGGTAGAGTGTCATGACATCATCATAGCTCATAGCAACCTCAAACTCTTGGGCTCAAGTGATCCTCTTTCCTCAGCCTCCTGAGTAGCTGGTACTATAGGTTTGCCCCACCACTCCCAGCTAGTGTTTCTATTTTTAGTAGAGATGGGGTCTTGCTCTTGCTCAAGTTGGTCTTGAACTCCTGAGCTCAAGGGATCCTCCCGCCTCGGCCTCTCAGAGTGCTAGGATTTTTTATTTTTATTTATTTATTTATTTATTTATTTTTGTAGAGACAGAGTCTCACTTTATTACCCTGGGTAGAGTGCCATTGCATCACACAGCTCACAGCAACCTTCAACTCCTGGGCTTAGGTGATTCTCTTGCCTCAGCCTCCCGAGTAGCTGGGACTACAGGCACCCACCAAAACACCTGGCTAAGAGTTCTAGGTAGGATTACAGGCATGAGCCAGGGTGCTGGGCCCTGAATATCGTTCATTGTGCCTGTTAGGTAGGTTTTTACTCCTACTCCTTCCCCTTGTTTATATATTCCGTACATTTTTACAGAGTACCTGCTAGGATCCTTGCTCTCTGAACTGAACCAGCCAGACAGGAATGAATGAGAAAAATTACCTGCTTTCAAATAAATCACAGCCCTGTGCTGTTTTCTAAGATTCTTGAGAAATCTGTGGCCCTTCAAAACCTCTGCCGGGGCAATGTCACCCATCTGTCCAGTATTTGCTTTGGTGCAGGATTATGAATTCCTTGGTTCTGCCTTGTTCATCTGTATTCTCTGTCCCTAATGCACTGCCTGGCATGCAGGAGATATTCAGAATGAGTAAGTGAATGTGTCTAAAGAATTCTTAATAACTGACACAAAGATGATCAGGCAAATAATGGACTAACTATCCTAATCCTATGTGGCTGGTCTGGTAAATGTTATATTTCCTAGATATATTAATGACAGTTATTTCCCCTTTTTCTTTTATTTTGGAAACAGCACCAGTGGTTCTGACAGCTCTCTTTCAGATGGTCTTCCTGTTCACCTACTGAACATAGCAGATGAGGTGAGATTATATTAACTGTTACACCCAGGAAGTAGCAGCCTTAAAAAAAAAATCACAACAGGCCAGGCTTGGTGGCTCATGCCTATAATCCTAGCACTTTGGGAGGCTAAGGTGGTTGGATCACTTGAGCTCAGGAGTTTGAGACCAGCCTGAGCAAGAGTGAGACTCTGTCTCTACTAAAAATGAAAAACTGAGGCAAGAGGATCACTTGAGCCTAAGAGTTTGAGGTTGCTGTGAGTATGATGCCACGGCACTCTACCAAGGGTGACAAAGTGAGAATATGTTTCAAAAAAAGAATCACGACACTACTTGATAATTTGGTGAAATTTTTCAATTGTCCTAAGATCTACAGAAAATATAGCAATAGTATACTAACTGGTCACCTTGCCCTGGAATCTTTTATTTTGTCCTTTATAAATTTCTTATTTGATTCGAGTAGAAACTTAGAAGTAAAAATAAATAAATATTTCTTGCTTGGCCTGGGCACAGCAGCTTATGCCTATAATCCTAGAACTTTGGGAGACCAAGGCAGGAGGACTGCTTGAGGCCAGGAGTTGAAGACCATCCTGAACAAGAGAGAGAGAGAGAGAGAGACCTCCATCTCTTCAATAATAGAAAAATTAGCTGGACATGGTTCCATGCATCAATAGTCCCAACTACTCAGGAGGCTGAGGCAAGAGGATTTCTTGAGCCTAGGATGTTAGAGACTTTAATGAGCTATGACAACACCACTATACTCCTGCCCAAGCAACAGAGCAAGACCCTGTTTCAATAAAAAAAAATAAAAGGAAGGAAGGAAGGGAGGGAGGGAAAGAAAAAGCAAGGAAAAACAAAAGAAAGGAAAAAATAACTTTCTTGCTTAATTATTAAAGCAATATTATTATGGTAACAACCAAACCTAATGATCAATTTAAACATATAGTTAATGATCAGTGTTATGACATTATTGCCATAAGTAATCTGGCTTCATATTATAAATAACAGATATCTGGTTCTTGGTACATGTTCCCCTTTGGTAGTATATCTGTAATGGTGGGATTTGGGGGTGTTAAGTAGGTAGCAGGTTCTAGTAAGGAAGTAACTGAATTGCTAGTTCATTTTCAAGGAACATGTGGCCTCAGGGCTAGATATGGCCCTCTAGATCCCCAAGTGTAGCCCCTCAACTGAATCCAAACTTCATAGAATAAATGCCTTCATTAAAAGCACTTGTCCTGTAAAATTTGGAGTCAGCCAAAAGGCTATATACTTAAGGATTTCTGGCTCCAGCACTGGGGGTTTCCTACTCCCTATAGCATTTGGGTCTTGAGTGTTGTGTGAAAGAGTGGGTGTACATGTGGGTGGACATAGCTCTGGAATCTTCAGTGACCAGTTTCTCTACTTCCTGGAATAGCTGAATCAGAAGAAGAAGGTGCTTAAGAAGAAAAAAAAGAAGAAGAAGCTGCTTCAGTCTAGGAAACAGCGAAATGAGCAGTATCAGAAAAGTAACTTGATGCGGGAGTTAAAGTTAACAGAAGATAACCCAGTAAGTAAGCCTTGCTACCTATTTCTACTGTCTGATCTAGAGTATTCTTTAGAGGGAGCAGGAAAAGAGGTCAAAATTTACTCCAAACTAGAAGGGGTTGGGGGTTGAGATGGGGAAATATTCTATTTTGAGATCAGAGCCTTTCCATGGTTCTTCTGGACATCTCTGAGCAGGTTTCAGTCTTCGCCCACCAAACCTCTCCTACACGCTGACATAGAGAGTCTGGATTTAGACCAAGTCAGAATTTCTATTTTTTTTTATTTGTTTGTTTTTGAGATAGAGTCTTACTCTGTTTGCCAGTGCCATGGCAATCAGCCTCAAACTCCTGGACTCAAGTAATCCTTCTGCCTCAGGGAGTAGCTGGGACCAGAGGTCTCTGCCACAGTGCCCAGCTAATTTTTTCTATTTTCAGTAAAGACGGTGTCTTGCTCTTGCTCAGGCTGAGCTCCTGAGCTCAAGGGATCCCCCTGCCTTGGTCTCCCAGAGTGCTTAGATTATAGGCGTGAGCCACCGTGCCTGCCCTAAGTCTGGATTTCTGGAGAAAAGAGGTGGTAAGGCCAGGCCTGGTGGCTCACACCTGTAATCCCAGCACTTTGGAAGCCTAAGGTGGGCGGATTGCCTGAGCTCACAAGTTGGAGACTACCCTGGGCGGCACCTGTGGCTCAAGGAGTAGGGCGCCAGCCCCATATGCTGGAGGTGGCGGGTTTAAACCCAGCCCCGGCCAAAAACTGCAAAAAAAAAAAAAAAGAGAGAGAGAGAGAGACTACCCTGAGCTAGAACGAGACCCCATCTCTAAAAATAGCCAGGCATTGTGGTGGGCACCTGTAGTCCCAGCTACTTGGGAGGCTGAGGCAAGAGAATTGCTTGAAGCCAAGAGTTAGAGGTTGCTGTGAGCTATGACACCAGGCCACTTTACTGAGGACAATAAAGTGAGACTTTATCTCAAAAAAACAAAAAAAAAGAAAGAAAGAAAGAAAGAAAGAAAAGAGGTGGTACTGGGAGAGTGGTGGCTGGAGCTAGTCCAAGTAGATAGATGGCTGAGGGACTAGGCCTGGTTCAGGTAAAAGACAACTTCATAGTTCCCTCATACTCACACCATACATACCATTTGTTTCCTAAGGACAAAAGCTTACAGAGGCTCGGCGCCCGTAATACAGTGGTTACAGTGCCAGCCACATGCACCGAACATGCGGGTTCGATCCCGGCCTGGGCCAAACAACAATGGCAACTGCAACAAGAAAATAGCCAGGCATTGTGGTGGGCGCCTATAGTCCCAGCTACTCAGGAGGCTGAGGCAAGAGAATAGCTTAAGCACAAGAGCTTAAGGTTGCTGTGAGCTATGACGTTGTGGCACTCTACCAATGGCGACATAGACTCTGTCTCAAAAAAAAAAAAAAAAAAGAAATGCTTACAGTGCTGGGAGTTTTGCTGTTGGTGAATTGGGTCAATTATGAATGGATCGATTCAAAAAGATTCTCTTTTGATTCATTCCTTCTAGGAAAGAGCAAGATATACTTCTACTCTACAAAAGCAGCCTACCTTTTTGAAAAATTCAGAAATTTCCTGTTCTTCAACAATGGAAAATGAAAAACCAAGGTCGAATGAGGTAGTATTTTTGTTTGACTCTTTATCACACAGATTCTCCTGATTTCTCTAATTAGCACATCTCACCCACAGAGTGAAGACACAAAAGTCATCTATGTCACCCTTACCTGTCAGTGTTACTGGGAACAGGGGAATATTCAGTTTAGGGGAGACACTGTAAGTGCTTTGGATTAGACAACACTGAAGTCTGACATCAAATATTGGTGATTCGGGTCTTTTTTTTTTTTTGCAGTTTTTAGCCGGGGTGGGTTTAAACCTGCCACCTTTAGCATATGGGGCTGGGGCCCTACTCCTTTGAGCCACAGGTGCCGCCCCTGGTGATTTGGGATTGTATACCAAGAATATAAGAACAGGCTGCTTTACTATCCATTCATCCATGCATTTACTCATTTACCTGATCGACAAAATTTATTTTGTTTTTTTTTATTATTTATTTATTTTTGAAACAGAGTCTTACTTATTCACCCTAGGGTTGAGTGCCATGGCATCATAGGTCACAGCAACCTCAAACTCTTGGGCTTAAGGGATCCTCTTGTCTCAGCCTCCTGAGTAGCTGGGACTACAGGCGCCCGCCACAACGCCCAGCTATTTTTTTGATCGCAGCCATCGTTGTTGTTTGGTGGCTCCGAGCTGGATTCAAACCCACCAGCTCAGGCGTATGTGGCTGGTGCCTTAGCTGCTTGAGCCACAGGTGCCAAACCAAGTTTTTCAATTTTTAGTAGAGACAGGGTCTCACTTTGGGTCAGGCTGGTCTCAAACTCCTGAGCTCAGGCAATCCACCAGCCTCGGCCTTGGATTACAAAGTTTATTTTAAAATTAACAAAATTTAGGGTGGTGCCTGTGGCTCAAAGGAGTAGGGCGCCGGCCCCATATGCCGGAGGTGGTAGGTTCAAACCCAGCCCCAGCCAGAAACTACAAAAAAAAAAAAAAAATTAACAAAATTTACTGTGTAACTGCTACATGTTAAGCCCTTAACTGGATGCTGGGAATGCAACATTGAACAAAATACTATCCCTGTCTCAGGGACTTTAGAATCTGGTGGAGATTTTAACAAGTGAGCAGGAATTATATCACAGAGTAGGATGCAGTGGCAATAGATGAGAGGCACTGAACTAACTTTTAATACTTTAGAGTTTTGGCTTGGCACCTGTGGCTCAAGTGGCTAAGGCACCAGCCACATATACCTAAGGTGGCGGGTTCGAATCCAGCCCGGGCCCACCAAACAACAATGATGGCTGCAACCAAAAAATAGCCAGGCATTATGGCAGGCGCCTGTGGTCCCAGCTGCTTGGGAGGCTGAGGCAGGAGACTTGCTTGAGCCCAGGAGTTGGAGGTTGCTGTGAGCTGTGATGCCACAGCACTCTACCTAGGGGGACAGCTTGAGGCTCTGTCTCAAAAAAAAAAAAAAAAAAAACTTTAGAGTTTTGTAGCTATAAAATTCTTGATTTTTTAATGTATAAAAATAGGTTTAGGTGGCGCCTATGGCTCAGTGGGTATGGTGCCAGCCCCATATACGAACCCAGCCCTGGCCAAACTGCAACAAAAAATAGCCGGGCATTGTGGCGGGCACCTGTAGTCCCACCTACTCAGGAGACTGAGGCAAAAGAATCACCTAAGCCCAGGAGTTGGAGATTGCTGTGACCTGTGATGCCACAGCACTCTACTGAGGACGATGAAGTGAGATTCTGTCTCTAAAAAAAAATAGGTTTGATACAATAGTAGCTAATTCTTCGTGGATAGAGTACAAAATGGGCCATCTTCCTGTAGAGTGCTATCCTGTGATTAACAGTGATACAATAAGGTCCCCTTGCGCTCTACAGTGGAACCCTACAGAGCTCAGCTGTCTCTGTTTTATAGTGAAAGCCATTTGGTAACAATGGCAGAAGCACAAGCTTTGAAGTCTATCTTGAGTTCAAATTTCTATTATTTAATCCTGTGAATCTGGCTTGGTGCCTGTAATACAATGGTTAGGGCACTGGCTGCATACACTGGGGCTGGTAGGTTCAAACCCAGCCCTGGCCTACTAAACAACAATGACAACTACAAAAAAAAAAAGAAAAGAAAAATAGCTGGGTATTGTGGCAGGCACCTATAGTCCCAGCTACTTGGGAGGCTGAGGCAAGAGAATTGCTTAAGCCCAAGAGAGAGGTTGCTGTGAGCTATGACATCACAGCACTATACCAAGGATGACATGGTGAGACTCTGTCTCAAAATAAATCAATAAAAGCCTTTAGAAAGAAGACTGGCATAAAGAAATGTGTTCCTCCCTAGATTTTACAAGCCATGGCACTTCCCAGCGAATTACTCCTTTGGTTTTGCTGTTTGCCTGGCTGTGTTTTCCTAGTAGCCTTGGTTCTCAGGCTTCTAGGAGAGAAGCTCAGATTGCAGCTAGTTCTGAATCGGAATCTGAGGCTGAGCCTTGGTCCTTACTGCAGCCTGCAGACAGGAGGGATAGATCTGGCCTCCTTCCCCCTCTCTTCAAAGTCCTATCTGATGGGCAAGGTGGAGCACCCAGACTACAGGCAGACTCCAGAGCCTTGCAATATATGCAGAAGCTCTATAAGGAATATGCTACTAAGGAAGGGATTCCTAAATCCAACAGAAGTCGCCTTTACAATACTATTCAGCTCTTCACCCCCTGTGCCCAGCACAAGCAGGCTCCTGGAGGAATCAGGTGACAGGAATCCTTCCATCAGAGGACCTGCTGTTTAACCTGGATCATGTTACTGCTGTTGAACACTTACTCAAGTCAGTCTTACTGTTCACTATCAACAACTCAGTTTCCTTTTCCTTTCCTGTTAAATGTGTATGCAACCTGGTGATAAAAGAGCCAAAATCTTCTAGCAAGACTCTCTAGAGCTCCACATTCCTTTACTTTTAACTCACAGTTTGAATTTGGAAAGAAATATAAATGGATTGAGACCAATGTAACCACCCTCCTTCAGCCTCTAGTGGCCTCCAACAAGAAGATTCACATGTCTGTAAATTTTACCTGCATGAGGGACCACCTGCAGCCTTCTTTGGCACAGGATGGCCTATTTAACATGACTCTTCTCATGTTCCCCTCACTGATCTTATATCTGAATGACACAAGTGCTCAGGCTTATCATAGGTGGTATTCCCTTCACTACGAAAGGAGGCCTTCACAGGTTCCTGACCAGAAGAGCAATCTGTCTGCTTATCCAGGGGTCCTCACACTTTTTAAACAGGGGCCAGTTCACTGTCCCTCAGACTGTTGGAGGGCCAGACTGCAGGCCCTGGGACAAGTCGGCTGCTAAGCAGGACAGGCAACAGCGGCAAAAACACCAGGCGGGCCGGATAAATGTCCTAGGCAGACTGCATGTGGCCTGTGGGCCTTAGTTTGAGGATGTCTGACCCTATCCTGTGAGAGAAGAGGCTGCTAGGGATGGGAGATTTTCCTTTCACTGGAGAGGTCAGGAAACTGCCATCTCTGAACTGAAGAAGCCCCTGGTTCCAGCTTCCTTGAATCTGAGTCAATACATCAATTTCTTTTTCCCCAAAATGAGTGTGAGCTCCATGACTTTAGACCTAACTTTAGTCAGCTGAAGTGGGACAACTGGATTGTGGCCCCACACAGATAAAACCTTTGGTACTATAAAGGGGACTGTCCCAGGGCAGTTCAGCATCAATAAGGCTCTCCAGTTCACACCAGGGTCCAGAACATCACCTATGAGACACTCGACCCCTCAGTCCCGAGACCATCATGTGTACCTGCCAAATACAGCCTGTTGAGTGATTTGACCATTGAGCCTGATGGTTCAATTCCTTATAAAGAATATGAAGACATGGGTGGTGCCTGTGGCTCAAAGGAGTAGGGCGCCAGCCCCATATACCAGAGGTGGCAGGTTCAAACCCAGCCCCAGCCAAAAAAAAAAGAATATGAAGACATGATAGCTACTAAGTGCATCTGTCATTAACAAATGGTCCTCCAAACTAAAACCTTGAGCCTATTTGACAAAGTAAATATTATGTCTGTCTTTGCCCTTAGGAGAAAGCTTCATGTGTCAAATCTCTAAATGCACAAGCCTGTCTACACAGTACATTCTGTGTGTAAAGGGTAACATCAGTTGTTGCTACTGAACCTTTCTGTTTTGTTTTGTTTTTTTGAGACAGAGCCTCAAGCTCTCCCCCTGGGTAGAGTGCTGTGGCATCACAGCTCACAGCAACCTCCAACTCCTGGGCTCAAGCAAGTCTCCTGCCTCAGCCTCCCAAGCAGCTGGGACCACAGGCGCCTGCCACAACGCCCAGCTATTTTTTGGTTGCAGCCATCATTGTTGTTTGGCGGGCCCCGGCTGGATTTGAAGCCACCACCTTAGGTGTATGTGGCTGGCGCCTTAGCCACTTGAGCCACAGGTGCCAAGCCAAGAGTCTTATTCTTGATGGCAAAAAATTCTTAGCATAAATCTTGGAATTGTAATTATAAACAGACAATTCACAGCACTATAGTCTTATTTAAAGTAAGAATAAATTTTTATCATTGGCCAAAAAAAAAAAAGGGCTCGCACCTGTAGCTCAAGCAGCTAAGGCACCAGCCACATACACCAGACCTGGCGGGTTCAAATCTAGCCCAGGCCTGCCAAACAACAATGACAACTACAACAAAAAAATAGCTGGGCATTGTGGTAGGCACCTATAGTGCTAGCTACTTGGGAGGCTAAGGCAAGAGAATTGCTTAAGTCCAAGAGTTGGAGGTTGCTGTGAGCTGTGACACCACAGCACTCTACCAGGGCTAAGGCAAGAGAATTGCTTAAGCCCAAGAGTTGGAGGTTGCTGTGAGCTGTGACACCACAGCATTCTACCAGGGCAACTCTGTCTCAAAGAAAAAAAGGGGTGGGGGGCCTCGGCACCTGTAGCGCAGTGGTTACAGCGCCAGCCAGATACACTGAGGCTGGCAGGTTTGAACCCGGCCCAGGCCAGCTAAAACAACAATGACAACTGCAACAAAAAATAGCCAGGCATTGTGGCAGGCACCTGTAGTCCCAGCTTCTTGGGAGGTTAAGGCAAGAGAACCGCTTAAGTCTAAGAGTTTGAGGTTGCTCTGAGCTGTGACACCACAGTACTCTACTGAGGGTGACATAGTGAGACTCTATCTCAAAAAAATATATATATATATTGTGAATCTCTGGGACTCAGTTTATGCATCTAAAGTATTATGGTGACAATATCTACATCCTAATGTTGTTATAAGAATTAGATAAGAAACTGTGTTAAGTACCTGGCATATGGTAGGCATTTAATAAATATTAGTCTCCTTTCTTCCTTTTCTTTGAACTGTTATCTAGTTGTCTCTTGCCTCTCTTTTTGTATTAAAGCAGTGGTTCTCAACCTTCCTAATGCCGCGGCCCTTTAATACAGTTCCTATGGGTCTCAACCCATAGGTTGAGAACCGCTGTATTAGAGTATCATAATGAATCAACATGCATGAATAAAAAGCAAACTAATAATGTAAATTCCATATAATCACTTTTGTTGAAGTGGAAATTTTAGTGAGGATTTGTTCATTTACTTTAAACACAGTTAATTGGAAGAGACAAAGGCACCTCTCTGGACCCGTCAGTGACTACCCTGATTCTGACTAAGAATAAAGAGAAAATGCAGGTACTTCACCTAGTATACTGTATATATTTATATGCCAGCAATTTTAATTAGTTCTCAAATGTATTCTGTGATTTGGAGGGATGGTGATTCACAAGCCACACAGTTTTGCCCTCTCAGATTTGTTCTGCTCAAGTGAAACATCTAAGGCAGTTTGTACCCTCCAACTATAAATCACCTCTCTACCCTGGGGTGCAGCCTACAAGGTAGTACAGGTCTGGAGGAAGCCTACCCAGAGCTAAATGCTTGCCATGGAGAATTTAGTTTTATTTCAGTTTTCAATTTAGTTGAAATTGATAAATTGAAATTTCAATTTATTTCAATTTAGTTTTATTTATTTGTTAGGCAGCCATTATTTAAAACTCCAGGACAACATGTCAGGTAAGACAGTGACAGTGAATGCCACAGTGCTTCTCAACCCTAAGACATGTTGCCATCATCCAGGGTTAGCACTGATTATTCAGTACTCAAGTATGTGAAAGATTTGCTTTTTTTTTTTTTGAGACAGAGTCTCAAGCTGTTTGTTGCCCTTGGTAGAGTGCCGTGGTGTCACAACTCACAGGAACCTCAAACTCTTAGGCTTAAGCGAATTTCTTGCCTCAACCTCCCAAGTAGCTGGGACTACAAGCACCTGCCACAATGCCCGGCTATTTTTGGTTACAGATGCTATTGTTGTTTAGTTGTCCTGGGCTGGGTTTGAACCCGCCACCCTTGGTGTATATGGCTGACACCATAACTACTGTGCTACGGGTGTTGAGGTGAATGATTTGCTTTTTTATTTTTATTTTTTTAGAGGTCTTGTTCTGTCACAAGAGGCTGGAATGCAATACAGTGGCATGATCATATGTCACTTTTACTTTTTTTTGAGACAGAGCCTCAAGCTGTCACCCTGGGTAGAGTGCTATGGCATCACAGCTCACAGCAACCTCCAACTTCTGGGCTCAAGCGATTCTCCTGCCTCCACCTCCCAAGTAGCTAGGACTACAGGCACCCGCCACAACACTCAACTATTTTTTGTTGTAGCTATCGTTGTTTGGTGGGCCTGGGCGGATTTGAACCCGCCAGCTCAGATATATGTGGCTAGCGCCTTAGCAGCTTGAGCCACAGGTGCCAAGCCTTTTTTTTTTTTTCAGAGACAAAAGTCTTATTACGCTAGCCTCCCAAGAAGCTGGCACTACAGGTGCCCGCCACATGCCACATAAATGCCCGGCTATTTATTTTGTTGTTGCAGTTGTCATTGTTGTTTAACGGGGCCAGGCCAGGTTGGAACCTGCCAGCCCTGTGTATGTGGCCAGTGCCCTAACCACTGAACTACAGGCACCAAGCCCTCCTCACTGTTACCTGAAACTCCTGGGTGTATGAGTGACCCTCCTCACTGTTACCTGAAACTCCTGGGTGTGTGAGTGATCCTTCTATCTCAGCCCCCTGAGTAGCTGAGACTACATGGACTATACCACCATGCCCAGCTAATTTTTATTTTTATTTATTGTTTTTAGACAGAGTCACTCTGTCACCCTGGGATTGACTGCCATGGCGTCATCTCAAACTCCTGTGCTCAAGTGATGCACCAGCCTTGGCCTCCCAGACTGCTAGAATTACAAGCATGAGGCACTGCACCCAGACTTTTTTTTTTTTAGAGACAGAGTCTCACTTTGTCACCCTCAGTAGAGTGCCATGGCGTCACAGCTCACAGCAATCTCCAACTCCTGGGCTTAGGCAATTCTCTTGCCTCAGCCTCCTGAGTAGCTGGGACTGTAGGTACCTGCCACAACACCTGGCTATTTTTTATTGTTGCTGTTGCAGTTTGGCCAGGGCTGGGTTTGAACCCGCCACCCTCGGTATATGGGGCTGGTACCCTACCCTCTGAGCCATAGGTGCCACCCAGCACCCAGATTTTTTTTTTTTGAGACAGAGTCTCACTCTGTCACCCCAGGTAGAGTGCAGTGATATCATCACAGCTCAACACTGCAACCTCAAACTCTTGAGCTCAAGTGTTCCTCCTGCCCCAGCCTCCTGAGTAGCTGGGTACTATAGGTGATTACCACCATGGGCTAATGTTTTTATTTTTTGTGGAGATGGAGTCTAACTTTGGTTCTTGCCCAGGCTAGTTCTGAACTCCTGAGTTCAAGCAATTTTCCCACGTCAACTTCCCAGAGTGCTAGGATTACAGGCTTGTGCCATCATGCCTGTAATTTTTTTTTTTTTGAAAAGTAAATTTATTGGCTTGGCGCCTGTGGCTCAAGCGGCTAAGGCACCAGCCACATACACCTAAGGTGGCGGGTTCGATTCCCCAGCCCGGGCCCGCCAAACAACAATGATGGCTACAACCAAAAAATGGCCAGGCGTTGTGGCTGGCGCCTGTAGTCCCAGCTACTTGGGAGGCTGAGGCAGGAGACTCGCTTG